CAATAGCCATGGATCAAATTCACCATGTAAAATACAGGCAGACACTCTGTATGTAATAGGATTTCCTGATTGTGTATATTAAACAGTGCTTTGTAATTTGGGGATAACTGTCGTAGCTAATGCTGTTGTAAAGTGACACTGACAGCTAACCATGGAACTATTATTTGATGATGCTAAGGAAAAGCAAATGCTGAACCTGTTATGCAGTTTGCTTCACTGAGCCGTAAATGTTTAAAGGGCAGAAGCACTTTTCTCCACCTCTCCCTATAACAATAACAGACAACTACATCCAACTCTAAAATTGCATGCTGTACACTCTCTAAGTTTGGAACTGTTTGGGAAAGGCCGTATGCCATCATCAGTCTCCTCCAAAAATCATGTAAAAGATAGTTTATGGTAAAAGCTAAAAGAAATAGGTTGATTTTTTAACAGATTGAAAATGGCCTCAGCAGCTCAGTGATGTAACCCGGAGGTTGACCATGCAAGGCTTTAAACACAACAAGAACTTTAAACTGTATTCTGAAACTGATGGGAAGCCAGCATATAGCCATAGGGACAGATGTGACATTAGACAGATGATTTCGTCATCAGCTTAGCAGCAGCATTTTGCACCACATGTAAGCGTCTCACAGAACTGACACTAAGACATGTAAACAAAGAACAGCAATAATCAATCCTTGATGAAACAAAAGCATGTAGAATCATCTCTAGCTCGGCTCTGGACACAACAGGTCTGAGTTAAGCTATATTTCTTAGATGATAAAAGGAGGAGCGGACCAAACTGTTTACATACTGGTCCAGAGCCAGACCCATTTGGAGACCTAAATTATGCAGGGCAGATTTAACAGTAGAGAACAAGAAACCAAGATATCTCTGGAACAACATGCTCAGGAGGAGAAATGAGAACCTCTGTTTTATCAGTGTTCCACTGGAGTTGAAAATTAATTGACATCCAAGCATTATGCAGTTCACACAGTCAAGCAAAACAGACAACTTGGAGACATTTAGAGGTTTAAAAGACTTGTAAAACTGAAATTCATCTGCATAACAATGATTGGACACATTTTAAAAGTTACTATAAGATGCCCAGGAGGGAGCAGATAAAACAAAAACAACAAGGGGCCCAAAACAGACTCCTGAGGAACACCACAAGATAGGGTTTCTACAGACAAAGCATGTTTACCAACAGTAACTGAGAATGATCTGTCAGATAAATATGAGGAGAACCAGTGTAAGGCTGTTCCAGAGACATCCACCCCTTTCTTGAGCCTCTCAATCAACACATTGTGCTCCACAGTGTCAAAAGCTGCACTGAGATCTTGGAGGACCATAACTGATCATTCTGCAGCATCAGCAGATCATTAGTGACCCTAAGAAGAGCAGTTTTCGTTGAATGGCGCTAGTGGAAACCAGACAGAAATGTATCTAAGATATCATTCTCATCCAAGACAGATGTAAGCCGGTTAGCAACCACTTTTTTTAAGAACTTAGAAGTAAAAGGCAATTTGTAAATATGCCTGTAGTTCTCAGTTTGCAAATCCGCCAAAAGCAGAAAGAAGATGCAACCATGGAAACCACTCACGGGCTGAGTCTATCCTGCTAACTGTGGATGTTTATTTCTGAGACACCAACAAAGATCCTCTTCCTACGTCCACATCTACCGTGCAGCTCAGAGCATGAAAGGGGGCCGTGCTGCGCAAATACAACATTCTTTGAAGGGGCAGGAGAAGTTAAGAAGTTACGTCTTAAAGGTCCCATATTATGCTTTTTATGGTTTTATATGCTCTTTAGTGTGTTTTCCAAGTGTCCTGTGCATGTTCAGGTACATCTATGTGCAAAGATTCAAAGCCCACTGAAACGCGGCTTCTCCTACCTCCTCCTGTTAGCTATAGCATTAGCCACATGTAACGCTCGGTTCTAGCCCCCCTCGATAAAAATATGTCAGTGCGGCGTCATTGTCAGTGTGAGATCACTGATCTAAGCCCATTTGCTCGTTGTGGCAAGCCCTGCAGCTCATGTTGAAATTTCCGAGACGCATGCTGAGCAACTGACCAATAACGACAGAGCGGATCAGCAGACCAATCAGAGCAGACTTGGCCCACATGGGGCTCTGCAGTGTGGGCTCAACAGAGTGTAGCTGACGGACTCAGAGCGTAGAGGGAGCAAGGAGGAGCAGTACATGAAAACAGACACTTTTTTCGGACTTTAGCTATTTTGAACGTACAAAAGTAGGTACATAGATTAAATATACAAACCCCAAAAAGGGCATAATATGGGATCTTTAAAGCAATTCACTTTGAGCGCGGTTGCATTCACATCTCCCACGGACCTTAATCAAGTTCACATGAATCGGAATGTACAGTACTCGAGTACGGTACATTTGTGTTCTCACTGATCAAATTAACCAGACTTTGGGGTCAAGCGTACTCGGATCCGTGCCAAGGTCCCTAGTGTGTAACCACCATTATGTGTTCCTCTTGGAAATTTGCCACAATATGGAATCAATTTGAAAGATTATCGCAAAGCTTCAGCTGATCTTCGGATTAAGCCTCAGCCTCTTCATTTTTTGTCATATTCTTCTCACTAACACCACAGGAATATAAATATGCAGAAAATGCTAAATAAGGGGAGATATATCATTCTTGTGCGGATGTTCCTCTCCGCCATTGGGAACTACAACTTCAAGGCAAAAAATAATACTTCTTCTGCTAAGAAAAAACAAATGTCCAAAATATTGAAAAAAATAAATAGAGTGCTACTTTTTAAATGACTCACAATAAACTTAACAGATGCCACACATGATTTGGTGAGATGCTTTATGTACAATCTGAGCAGCTTATTTTTGTCAGGGCCTTAATAATATTGGTTACAAAGATAGACACAATCTACATGAACTCACAAAATGTCCAGTTTAGACTGACTTGGTTGTTTTAATTGCTCACTTTTGTTTCCATCGATTTAAGGCCCTTAAATGTGGCAACTGAGGAAATTTAGTTCTCTATCTTGTTTGTCTTTGTGCTAAAGTATAAAGTGACTGAATGTGTCTTTTTGCAAATGTTTCCCCTTCTAAAGACTGTTGAAACACAATGATACAAAGGAATCCACGCAGCTGAATGTGTTTATCCTCCTTCCTTGATTTCCTTAAAGATAAGTCATCATACAATGCTCTTTGTAACTGACATCAATTAACACTTAGACTTAAGCCTTATTCAGATCACTGTACCAGAGCATAATACATGATAACCAATTCCTATGAGTCTCTTCGGGATGAAAGGAGCTTTAGCCTGGAATGAGAGGCCTGTTAACATTAACGAGCAGCGTGAATGGCATGGAGTATGTGTAAATGTGAGGGTAAAGCTGGGGCACCGAATGGATTACCCCCTTAGGGATCTAGGTAATAATCCTCTTCTGCCGTCTTATCTCCTGCTCTCACTTAAGCATGGGAGAGGACGGGGCAAGGCCAATGCTGAGCTGCAATGTTTACGTTTGGCAGACTTAAGAGACAGTGAGTGGGTGTCTGTGAGTGCATCGCAGGTGATTCTGTTGCTTTGTGATTTGTAAGAATGCACGGATAATTGCAATGTTTTTGTATCTTAACTGTATGTGCCTGTTGTATCTGCACAAAGTCAACTCTTGTGTGTGCATGTAAGAATTTTTTTTTTTTTTAATTCAGAAATATTCACTCTTCACATCACCTTCTGACACTTATTAGTGTATCCATGGGCATCTGTAAGGAGAATGTCTGCTGAACTGGCATCTCTGAGTAGCTAAATGTACTCTGATGAGATGATGTAATATATTTTTGTGTCCAATATTACGATTTTCCTGTAAGAGAAAAAAAAAATACAGCTAAAGGAATTCTAAAGATATTCAATCAAACGTGCATATTGTCCCTCATCAAAGACAACTTGAATCTTATCTTAAACCTCTCTTGTAATTGTATCTATAAGTTGTCTTCTTATGTGTCTGTTTTACTTTTACTTTTAATCATAAAACAAACTTGAAAAGATGTACTTGCTTTAACTTGATAAACACAGTTGAGAAGCCATTTTGGGCATGTCTCTGATGTAAAATCATCTATGCAGAAATTAAGCAGCGCAAATCAATGCTGCTAGTTTAAAGTCGGAGTCAGGTGCATTTCCATTGCAGATAGTAAACACAACATTCAAACTGGGCCCATCCTCCTGGGCTCATAACCCACGCAGAAGGGCACCCCAAGTCACTGCCGGACTGTAAGCTACCACACGCTAGCACAAGCTTACTGCCAGTCCAACAGAGTCAGGCCAACTGCTCGTTCGCAGGTGAAACACAGCGTTCACCCTGGTATTGGAACGAGTTTTATCTGCTCACAGTTTTCAACTCACTGTGATTATATTTTCTCTTCTTTGCTGCTACGTCCACATCTGTCATATTCACTGGTTTGAAACAAGTCCAGTCGCTGAATTGCATCCACTTCTAAACTCACCTGTTCACTGTCATTGGCTGGGGGAAACACACCAGCTCCCCGCCCAGAAATGCCCAGACTCAACCAAAACAACACAAAAGCACGAAAATCCAGGCAGAGAACCGAGTCTCTGCAGACACAGCCGTCGCCACACATGTATGGAGGCACAGTTAGTGATTATTGGGTATCTTTACTTTTCTTTAAGTCTATATTTCATTTGTCTTAAAATAAATATAGCAGCTAAGATAAAGCATTTCATGTGTAATTTGTATGGCATTTGCTTATATATTTGAGGACATACAAATAATTGTAAAAAGTAACATTGCTGCACCTCCTTGCAGCTCAAACAAAAAAGTTGACACAAATGCCGAAGACAATGCTTAACATCTTTTTTCAATTGTGAGCAGTCAATTCTATCCAACACTATTTAGGCTTTGGGAAGATTGTAATTCCCCATTCAGAGAAGTTAAGTTTGTTTAACGTAATTTTCAGCAACAAAAAAAAATCGGTATGTTAAAGCACTAAATAAAAAAATAAAAAATAGCCTGAGACTTACCAAGGAAGCGAAAGGTCCTGCGCACCAGCGGGTTGAGGTAACAGCAGTCTCCAGTGGCCACTGTCTTCTCTGAGCGGTCAAACTCTTTGGATGTGTACTGGACCAGGAACAGAACAGTCTCTGTGATTGTGATCTAAGAGAAGGAAAGATGAAAAAAGATTTAAAAAATGCTGAGTAAGGGTTTATTGGTTCGTCAAAGTTGCAATAGCTGGCAGTGTCATTTTCTCACACTCCATCACAGAGCCCAGAGTTTATTTGTTTACTCACTGGGCTCCATCTGTACTCACAAAGCTGTGGAATACACAAGAACATATGTGAGAGAGGAAACGGGCTGCTCTGTTCACTGCTTCAGTGCAAATTCACCGCTCTGTGAATGACGGCGCAGAAGTGTTTTTATATGCAAATATGGACAATCCTTTTTCGATCTTTAAATGGGATTCTATCCACAGATCACCCCCTTGGTGATTTATTGATGTAGACTGATAGAAGCAGAACAAATCATCACTGAGTGTCAGTGGTTGATTTTAAGTGTAAGCTTTGTTGCATTATCCTGGTGTTAAATAATTTTCAAGACTGATAATAATACAAATAATATATTTTTTTTAATTCTTGGCACATGAATATAATAACAATCCATAAAGGATGATCGTATAATGTATTCTGTTATTCACGAAAAAATCTGCTTCTGAGAAATATTAGGGGAAAATATAAACTAATGGGGTTTTACATGTAAGTGTTTCGCCTCGGGCAAGCCATATTTCCTTTCCGTTTGAGCCCTTTGTCTCCTTGCTCTCGTGTTCTGATGTGTTTTCTTTCAATTGTCTAATCCCACATGCAGATGCAAACTAAATATGCCTAAGTGTATCTGACTACGTTCTGATTTTGTCTCTGTGACTCAGTTCAAACCTCATTGGTTAAGTTAATAAATAGATTAGAAAACACACACACAGAGTTCGATTTTTTTATTATTTTTAAAACAACAAAAAAAGAAACAGTTTATTAAAAGGTCTATTTAGATTTTTTTTGATCTTATTCGTTTTGTTCCAGTTACTTAAATGACTCGCTTTCTTTAGATGGATTGATCCATATTAAGTGGGTATATGGAGCAACACGGTTTTGTACTGGAGTCAAATAAACTCCAGTGTGTTTATGTCATAAAGGATCGTGTCACACTTTGTAAGAGCTCAAAACTCATTAAAGTTTGCCAATGATAAAATACAAGGAACTATCAGTAAAGTTTTCCTTTGCAGACATTTAGCTTTTTTGATAATCAAACTGTGAATAAAAATGTCACAAATTTCCTTATGTGTCAGTGCAAACATTCCATTCATAATTAAACAGAAAGTAGAGTAGAGTTATCATGCAAACATAAACATATGATGTATCTAAACATTTGGTTAAATGTCTAATGATGGCCTTTCTCTTAGAGTAAGGGTCTATTGTAACTACTTAATTTCATCCATTCTCCATTAATATTTATCTAACCTGAACGTCATGGGAAACACTGATCTCACCTAAATGTGCTTAAGGATTAATATCCAAATAAAATTTAAAGTGTCATCTGGTATCTAGTTGTGTTTATCTGGGTTTCCAAAATCAGTGCAGTGTCAATTTGTAACAGCTGCTGCATTTGACTGCCAACAGCTTCACAGCTTGCCAACCACAACACACCTGCTACTGTTCTCCATCCAACTGCAGCAACCAGCAACCTCAGACATATTGACAACCACCAGGACATTTACTGCAATGCCACTTAGTTTGAGGCTTACAGCTACTCATTTTGGAAGTCTAGAAAAGGCCACCAAGCCTTTCTTACCAGGGTAAATACCTTTTATATTTACATACAGCAGCCTCCTCAGGATAATACGTATATACAACTGAATGACGGATAAATAAAACCTGGTCTTGTAAAACACTGCTTCTGAAAAGAAAAGACATTACAATGAGTCTTTAAAGTCTTGAAGGATATTTAATGTGTAAACACAGTTCCACTGAATTGTAGTCAAACATCCCCAAGTTCTGTGGTTCCATCCATATCTCCTATACAGTTGTCATGTTGAAATGTCCTCAGGAACCATGCTAAACCCATAATTGATTGTTGTGTCAGCACTCTGCACATGTGTGTGTGTGTGTGTGTGTGGCATATATTAAATGGGCTTGAATTTTTGTAGTCTTCAGACAACTCAAAGTGCTTTTTACATTGCTTGTCACATTCACCGCTTCACAGCACATTCACGCATTGCTGACATTGAGTGTCTTGCCCAAGGACACATTGACATGTGACTGCAGGGGCTGGGGATCGAACCCCTATCTTCCAGTTGAGAGACGCCAGACTCTACCATTGATCCACAGCCGCCCCCCACTGGGCCACAGCCGCCCCACTTCATGTCATTCAGGACTTATATATATTTGAATGGATGCCGTACTATCATCCATGTGCAGTCTTACATTTTGTGATATGTTATCATTTTGTATCAGATTTGTTTTTGCTCTCCCTTCTGACTGGTGGTGCAACTGTGTTGGAGAGAAACATTTTAGTAATCTGCATTATGATTGAATATTTTTTGTTAACACGTACATTACGACTTTAGTAAAAAAAAGAAAAAAAAGAATTGATCATCATGCTTTAAGTTGAAGTACCTCATTATAAAAAAACACAAGTAATGAGTAGTTATACAATACATAGCTAAATTAAGATGTGACTTAGGTCTGACTTTCAGTTTGAATTAGTAGATCCAGCATCTACTCCCTAACTGAAACATGCATGCAGGGAGAGTTATTTAATAGCAGTGAATTATTAGAACCACCATGGTTAATTCAGTAATACATGACATGCTAAGTGGCACTATCTTAAAAAAGAAAGGCGCGTTGGGCTAGAATATCATTTTGAGTTGCCAATGGAAACCTGTGATGTGTGTGCATCGGTGTGTTGAGCTCGGCAGAGCAGTGACAGCTGTGCTTTTAGTCATCAAATTGGGGATATGGTGGATTAACCAAACCTTGGAAATAAAAGGGCTGGACAGTATCTTTGCAACACGTGGAGGGTGTTGATAACCCGTGTGCGGTTGTGTCAGCAGGCCTTTCCCTAACAACTTCAGTAACAAACCCTTACAGGACATTTGTGCTGGGATAGAGGTGCAATGGCCGGTCTACATGGGCTGGGTTGGGGCTGCTGGCTAAAGGTCATTGTGTTCTCAGTAAGCTAGCATGACCAGAGGCCAGAAAATGGACATGATAAACACAATAACGGCTGCTTGTCTCTTTAGGATTTGCCCCATGCCCCCATGTCTCCTGAGCCCAGTGTTGTGCTTTCAGCGCTTGGCTGATTTCACACTCAGTGCACTGAGGAATTAATCTTTCATTTGCAGGTACACCCCACCGGGATTTGTACCAACAACCTCCCGACCTTGCCCAGTCTGAATGTTTCTACCTGGCTGAAGCTGCAGATGCACAAAGTCCTGTCAGTGGATAACTCACAGTGCATCAGAGCATGCCTGCATCTGTGCACATGTGCCAGCAAGTGTGTGTGATGTTGTACTTAGGTACCCAAAGCCCAGAGCTGAAAACTCGCAGAGCTCAGGCATTGCCACAGTGATTTATTCAGGTTGACTGGTAAAGTGGGCAGACAAGGTAGAGAAAAACTTGGAAAAAACTTGAGAAAACAAACTTTTTTTTTTAATGCTGAGACTGTGTTCTCCAGAGTTGTAATGCTTTTAGAAAACATCAGTCTCTGCAACACATTGTCTTCTGTATTTTGACACTGTTTAGAATATTTACAAAAAAGTATTAGAGCCAGTTTCCATTTTGCATTTGAGGAACATACTGTGATGGGAACACAAACAAAAAAATTGACAATATAAAAATGGTCTTATGTAATATTCTCAATATATCATATTTGATTTTATGTCTAATGAATCTAGGATAAACTTCACTTCACTTTATGAATTCAATTAGGAAAGAAAAAAACTTTTTCATGATATTCTAATAATAGCTGCACCTTATTCTTATCATAGTTCATATACTGTAAACCAGACCCAAAGCAACAAAATATTTCTCATTAAAAATATTCCAGTAGAACCAATCCTAACTGAAAGGCACAGTTAGACAAATCTAAGCTCTTGATCTGTCACCCCAAAAGTATAATTTAGCAGATTTTGTGCCCAGCACAACCCCTGAGAAAATGGTCTGAATATCTTATTCATTATTCAGAAATCAAACACACAATGCAAAATGTATTAGCCATGCTGATCAAGCCTACAACCTGATAAATAGTTTTATTTCTGTTTGTTTTTGGTGCAACGCAGAGCACAAACAAGTGAAACCAGCTGATGAAAAACTCGTTCTCAGTGTGTGCTTTATCCTTAAGCCATCTGTTATCATGCAAGTTTCTGTAAGAATCTTGGGCCCTGGAATAACAACTCAGCAATTTTGTATCTATTAAGACCTTGCTCCATACCTCAAGGGTTTGGATATCTAGGAGAAGCTAGCAAAAACGGAGAGAATCGGCACAAACACTTCCTATTGCTATTTTGCTGGAACTGTGCTGTGTGGCCCGTCGTGAGATACTTTACTGCATGCTAACAGAGCAGAAGCTGTGAACATCCCTTTAAGTGGATGACAAACTTCCTGGAAAAGAAGGAGGCAACAGGTAGGGCTTGGGAAAATTGTGTCACGCATTCAGAGCTTCCCATGGTGTTCTCTCACGTTGCTATTCTCCTGTCATGAAAACTCCTGAAGTTTGCAGACACATCCGTCATTAGCTTCTCCATAGTTCAAAACTTTTCTTTTTGCCCTTTTTGAAGGAATCCTTGTTCTGGTTTCTGTCTCCACCACTTTCTATTTCGTGCAAACGTACTCAAAAATGACAAGTCCCTTCATTCTGCGTTCCTTTACTTCAGTATCAACACTGGAATCATCGCTGCAGGGTTAAATGTTGTTGGCAAATCACTTATTAAAATAAAAACTCAAAAGTATTTATTTATCAGCCATGAACAAATCCAGGGCCCTGACCAGATCACAAGATGCTAAGAGCTAGTCATGCACTCCGGCCTAAGGGTAAGGGATACATTCTTGGGTTTCTGCCAATTTTCCACACATTTCATGGGAGAAAAGCGAAGTTGACGATACAACAAC